GGTGCGTGAAGGTATGAAAACGTTACCTCGAATTAATACTGAACCGGGGAAATTTTAAGACAAAGCAACGTATGCAAAACCTCAAAGATGTGTAACTAGTCTGTCTTCTAAAAAAAAACTTTAAAACAAGACGAAATACCCCTAAATCAAAAAAGGCATCTCTGTAGTTCTCACTATGACCAAAAAATGAACAAAATAAAAATAAAAGCCCTTACATATCATGTATTGTATATGTAATATAAATAATAATTTCCTTTATCTAATTGTTATGATTCGCGTTTCTTTACACGACAATTGTAATGTTATACGTGCAAAAAAATATTTTTTAAATGATTTTGTTTTTGAGCAATAATTACATTAAGGTAGATTTACAGAGGTTTAAAAAACTGAAAGGTACTATAACGTCGTCCTTAACTTACCTCGAATTTAACGACTGAGATCTGTGTCAGTCTGTCAGTTCTGCCACTTACTACTTTTACGTAGTACTGTTATTCATTTCAACAAAACTTTCCGAAAGCAAAAGCTGCTTGTATTTTCCACGAGGACGTGCGGTCCACTTTTATAATTCCTCGAAAATATGATTAAAGCAACACCTGATACGATTTCAAGATCTCACAACGACGTAGATGGCGTGGATATGAATAAGCAATTCAAGGCGGTATAATGTGTCGTGATGCATATTTTTAGTATAGGTCACGGTGAACCACGTGAACCTTAATGTTATGCCTCCTTACATTTTGCCAAGGTACAATGAATAATGTCAATACTTGGGTCATTATTTATTGCATAGTATCGACCCGCCCCGGCTTCACATGGGTAACTTCTGAATCTCGTCAGCTGCACCACCTACCGGGTACAATTAAATTTTCAAACTATCCAGGGACCCACTTAAATACACACAAAAAAATTCATCAAAATCGGTCGTTTCGAGTTTTTGCAACTGACGGACAATAATTGATTTTTATTTATAAATATTGTCGTAAGTCATTTGATTGACCTTAACATCATAACATTTGTGTAACATCTGCTAAACTAACTTTTTAAGCGGTAGCGGCGGCCGTTTTTTATAACTATGACAAATTAATCATTAATGATATTATTAATTAATAAAAAAAACATCTGCGACAGACATATACCGAGCCACCGAATAAATAATAGTACTACAATAGATAAAATAGTAATAAATACAATGTCCCATTTGGCTAGGACAACTTGTTGTTCTAAGCTTGGCTATATCATGAATAATAAAAAATATTTGTATATGTTAATTATATTGTATTTGTGCCATTTTGAAGATAAACATTTTACATTTGGCTTTGTGCGGACAAGGAATGGTTAGGCCGTTAATAAGCGTCATGACCATTTTGGTGACGGCTACATTAAATTTTTTCTTTCATTATTTATTGATGACTTATAAAAGTCACTATTTTCCACTATAATAATATTTACATAAATTATATTGGATTCTTTTAAAATGGACTAATTTACAAATAAAAATAATTTGTGGATGTGTTTATATGTTATGTTATATTACACCTGGGACCTAGCCATTTCGATTCAGATTTCGGTATATCCGATGTCGAATATAGATCCAAGTTACGGTGATTCATCTAATTTATCATTTGTACTATAAAATTGAACTGTAAAATATATTACAAGATAAAAAATATTGTTACTACATTAAACAACACAAAAAAATTTCATCAAAACCATCTGTTACGAATTTTGCAATAGCACATAAACTTTTGTGACGACGATGAATAAACAAAATAATGCAAATCGCATCGACCATATTTTATTTCTGTTTTAAACGTAAATCGGTAGAAAGTGGCAAATCTACATCTGCCGTGCATTATGACCCAATGTGGGCGACCAACACGTCGTGCACTTGAGTCAATTAACGTAGGTGCGTAATTAATTTACATCTGTTGCATAAAGTTACAGCCTATATACGTCCCACTGCTGGGCACATCACCCTAAAAACTCTCATTTCTGAGAGGGTTTTTAGGGTAAGGAAGTGTCCGCCGCGCTACCCCAATGCGTGTTGGCGAACTTCACATGTCTTCGAATTTTTTTTCTTATTTCTCAGACATGCAGGTTTCCTCACGATGTTTTCCTTCACCGCCGAGCACGTGGTAAATCAGCACTTAAAATTGCGATTAACAATTTCATTGGTGCCAGCGGGGATCGAACCTGGTTTGCTCGCGTACTGTGAAATTTACAGCGAGCGCTAACCATCTGAGCTACCACGGCTATACCATATTTTATTTCTGTTTTAAACGTAAATCGGTAGAAAGTGGCAAATCTATCTGCCGTGCATTATGACCCAAGTGTGGGCGACCAACATGTCGTACACTTGAGACAATTAACGTAGCGTAATTAATTTACATCTGTTGCATATCTCAGTGATACTTTATTTTCGTACTTGCCGCATTGCATTCTACTTAAATATGAAATATGACCTGTAAAACAGTCCATTGTTAAGATTTTATTACAACCACGTATGGTCAAAATTAATAAAGTCAAGGTTCACAACATTGTACATATTTATATTGTATAACATAATATTATGCTTTACAAATAGAATTTTATCAGGCGTAAGTCAGTCAGGTTGAAGTAATTATTGACACGAACGAGTTCATGATAACTCAAAATTATTATTTTTTGTTTCCACCTTAAAATTATAGTTTATTATAGTAATTTTTATTTAACAATTTTAGTGCTTTATCGTAGGCTTTTTAAAAAAAAAAAGGTTTAAATAAAAAAAGGTTGCGGAATGGCAAGATAAGTTATGGAGAAAACTGCGTGTTCAAAAATATGCAATGACATACAAAAAATCTTCATTGGAACACGCAAAACTGGTTTGTATTGAAGTCCCCTAACTATAACAAACTCCTTCATATTCGAAAAGCAGGCACTTTCGGATATGAGGGGAGGCCTGAGACCGTTATTTTGGATTTTTATGAACGCTGTTACTTCTGTGAAATGATTTGGCTTTATAAATTAAGCATAATTATCATATAGATAACTGGCCGTCTGTATTTCTTTTAATCACTGGCATTACTTAAAAATTTTTGTTATACTTTTTATGTTGAACTTTAAATTGCAACCACATTCTCATGAATAATGACTGAAAAAATATGAGAATGTGTGTGAAGAGACTAGTAAAATTAACTTAAAAGGCATTTTCTATAGGATGACAAACAAGCACACAGACCACCTAATGGCAAGATGTCCATAGATATCTATATATATCCTCGATTAAGAATAAAAATGCGGATGCGTTGTGACCCCCTGACGAATAAGATGTTAAGCCTCATTTCCAGTAAAAAACGTCTCCAGTTACCCACCATACGCAACACAGCGTCTGCTATTATACTCTGAGAGCGTGGTCCGTACCCGGCGAGCCGATTACACCGATTACACATTCGTTCTACACAACCGTAATATAGCTGCATCATGGCTCTACCACGTACAAAAATATAAATTGCTCTTTTTTGCTTGTCTTTTCCGCGTTTAATAATTGTGATGAATATTATTTATCCTTTTTCAGATGTGCATGCATCATATTAGTCATGAACGGAATTCCCACCACTACGTCATTTGATACCTACCTACATCGTATCTGGGTCCAGTATCAAATAATATTTATTCGGAGTTATCAAACCGGTTCTCCCATATACAGTTTCGGTGGCGTCGGGTTGAATAGATCTTAAACAAGAGTTGATGCCTTATAAGCTTATAACCATATAAATAGTTGTTAACTTTGGTAGATCACCAGTGGTATAAAGAGAGTGGCCTCAGTCGTTCGTAAGCTTCGTTTAACGCATTAAAAAAATTGTGGTATGTTCTACTGCATCCTGAATTTTACATGTGTTTTATATACACACAAATAAATACTATAGGTATTGCGTGCTGTCTATTTGCTCATGACATGACAATTACTGATTAATTATTTCAACATAAAGTTATGAAATGGCGATAAGCCTTGCACTGCTATGTTGTTACTGAAGGACTCCGAGAAATAATTCAACTAATGTGTGTTATAGTCATGCTATATCATTTAGAAATTGCATTCGGATAGAGTTTAATAGAGTAAATGGAGTACGACATAATATTCATTAATCTATGTTTATAAAAGTGGAAACAAACTCGATCTATTAAGTAATACTTCATCGGATTTTATCGCGTTTATTTTTTCTTACTTTTTATTTTTATTTTTAATTCCCGACGTTTCGGGCGCTTTCCAGCACCCATGGTCACGGGGGACTGAGATGACTGACGTCCCGATGTCATTGTTAAACCCGGAGTACCTTCAGCTTTTTTTTAATTAAAAAAAAGCTGAAAAAAAAAAAAAAAAAGCTGAAGGTACTCCGGGTTTAACAATGACATCGGGACGTCAGTCATCTCAGTCCCCCGTGACCATGGGTGCTGGAAAGCGCCCGAAACGTCGGGAATTAAAAATAAAAATAAAAAGTAAGAAAAAATAAACGCGATAAAATCCGTAAAAGTAGTTTTAATCATGTGCAATGTTCGCGTAAATATAAGAAATCATTATAATACTTCATCGTTATCGTGAGTTCCTGTTCATTCATTAAAAATAAAAATCTTTGTTAAATGTTAGTACTTTTTTATAGGAGGAGGAAGTTCTTAAATAAAAAGTAAAGTAAAGTTACAGCCTATATACGTCCCACTGCTGGGCTCAGGCCTCCCCTCATTTCTGAGAGGGTTTAGGGCAAGGAAGTGCCCGCCGCGCTGCCCAAATGCGTGTTGACGAACTTCACATATCTTCGAAATATTTTTTTTCTTATTCCTCAGACATGCAGGTTTCCTCACGATGTTTTCCTTCACCGCCGAGCACGTGGTAAATCAGCACTTAAAATTGCAATTAACAATTTCTTTGGTGCCGGCGGGGATCGAACCCGGGTACTCGCGTTCTGTTATTAATAAAGTTCTTAAATAAAGCAATGTAATAATTTCCATTTTTTTTTTGCAGAACGATGGGTGAATTTGGCAAAACACTCGGGCTCGACGAACTGTCTGACGGAGCAACGATCATTACTAAAGCCTTACTCGCAGAATTCATAGGTAAGTTTGGAACAAGTTTCATTTTATTTTGAATAATAATAATCGATACACACCAAAATTTTCAAATATACATGTTGCTAAGTAAGAAAGTATAAAAGTTAAATGCTACATATAGGTAATTAAGGATCCAACCAACGCTAAAAAGCCAAATATAAAGAAATAAAAAAAAATAAAAAACGTCTTAGTTATGAATGTAAAGGATTATTCAGTTATGAAATTAGCTCGGGCTTGGCTAGGCTGTCATAGATCGCTTGTGCACTTTGAAACAAATATTTTGTCACGGTAGCTAACTATGATGGATGATGGTGAGATTCATCATTTGACTATCGGTTATAGGGTTGCCAGGTGATCGGGATTCGTCTGGATTCTCCCAACATTTTAATTGATCTCCAGACTCCCGACAAAACTCAAAATCTCCATACAAACAGCTTCCCTTCATATGTCTTTGATTTAATAAAAGCCGAGTTACTGATTAGACAGGAATTGGAAGTAAATTGTTTGGATTTTAAATCTTTTATGAATTCTTCTACAGGTTTCAAATTGGTAGACTCTAGAGATGTTTAGTCTTTTAATCGTCTGTAAAAAAAATATTTTACAATCTTATCTTTCATATTTATTTCTCCCGACAACAACCCCAAAATCCCGACTTTTCAAATTTTGTCCAGATATTTTGGTCTTCCGATCTGATAACCCTAATCGGTTAGCATGGGTCTATTTCTATACACAAAATGTTTTCTTATGTCCACATCGTTGCTAAAAACTAAATACCTTTTTTTAAATTATAAACTTGCAATTATCACAACGTACGATTTTAAAAGATTTACTTATTTTATATTGTGATAAAAAGTCTACAAAAACAGTTCAAAATTTTTTAAATAAAATTATTTTGATTTGTTGGATTCCAAGGTCTAATATGATATTTGACTGATTGGCGTTTCACTATATTTTTTTATATTTAAATATAGACAATGTACTTAATTGCATAACTTAGATCAGGGTTTAAGCGCTCGATGTAAATTTCACAGTACGCGAGCAATCTGTATCCGATTCCCGTCGGCACAGATTTTCCACGTTCTCGGTACCGAAGGTAAACTTAGTAGGGAAACGTGCGTGTATGAGGAAATAAGGACTTCTAAAAAATATAGGACTTGTGATTTCTGCCAACACGCAACGGGGCATGCATTGAAATATCTATAAGGTGTAAAATACTTACCAAACTACTTACTATACTTACTTACTTACGTACTTAACATACTAAAAATTCACCACAACTATAAGTCTGGTCGCCGAGCACGATGAATTTCGTTTGTCCCTACTGCTAGAGGTCAAAAACATTTAAGCTAAAGTTCGAATCTGTAAAATATGGTGAAGTAGTAGGTACTGGTTGCGCAGAAAACGAATACCCTCGCATTTTTTCAGGAACCCTATTGACCCACCAAGTACTGAGAAAGAGATTTTTAAATATATTTATAATGCTTATTATTGGGTAATGTAATAAACTTAACCAAGTACATTTTTATATTCCTAGCGATTTTATATAGCAACGCTTTTCGATTTAGACTTGGTCTGATGTTGATTGAAACAAACAAATCGACGAGCTGATTAAAAAATATAAAACGTATTTTCTCTTTAAGATAAATATAAAATTAGGATCACTTCCCCTTTCGGTGTTTGAGGAGCTGTAAGTTGTTCCGCCTATTACATCTACGATGAATGAATCCAATCTATCTAATTTAGTACTTTTTTATTATCTATTGTATAGTCTATACTATTAAATCTTATTGTCGAGAACAAGTAACTACGAGCGCATTCCGAAACGGTACGAAAATGCATAACAATATCAAGACAAAGCAAAGAACATGTGTATGAGAACAAACCTTATTGTTATAGTAAAGGTTTGTAATGATGATGGCTGTCACTTCATATAAGCGAGGGCGACAGTAATATACTTTCTTATGCGCGAGCGACAGAAACGAGCAATGACGGGTCATTGTACCAAATTATTCGTTCTCGGCGACCAGTCTTTTAATAAGTCGGAATAAAGAAATAAATTAATGACGTTTAAATTACCTAATCGCTTGTATATTACGTAATTCCATCGGTATGGCGCGTGGCGGGCCATACTTCTAAGTATACTGTATTTTTAAGAAACAAAAATAATAAGCAGCGTAGATGTATATGTATAATATATACAAAGTATGTTTTTCAGTGTTAGAAAAATATAATAAAATTATTTTTTCAGGAAATCTATTACTAAACCTATTTGGGTGTGGTGCATGCGTGAATGTTGCTCAGGGAACCACTGCGGCACCTGATATTGTCTTAATTGCACTCGCGTTTGGACTGGCTGTGTTCGCCATTATTTCTGTAAGTATTTTGTGTGTAAACATATCTATTACATTAGATGGTGATGTCCTGCTATATGGTTTAACACCGGTGACAACTTCTGCTATGTACTTCTTCATCGTCCCTTGTACCTGAAGTTGTCAACATCGTAGGTAGCCTAAGATATACATATGTATTCTGTATATACCAATGACTATCATCATCTGATAGACTCTAGTCAGTAGACAATCCTCACCCTAAGCGTACTCAACCTACTTGTTGACAAATTTACTATGACACCATCATCACCAGTATACACGCAAAACACCGTATATTGACACGTCGTTGTATTTATACACCGGTATATTTTTTCTTTGATTATACCTTATCGTGTCTAAAGTAGCAAACGTAACGATAAGATGGAGATATGCCCAAGAAATCAAATACGATCATTTTTTTATAGGATATGGGTGATAAAACGAGCACACAGTCCACCTGATGGTGAGTGTATGCTACCCTCCACTACGAATCAAAATGCAGATGAGTTGTCAGTCACCCGTGAGGACCAAGATGGAATGCCTCGTTTCCAGTAAAAAAGCATCAAGCTGCTATTTTAAAGCTGATATTTTGTGAGAGCGTGGTCTTTCCACGGCCGAGCCGACTCATTCGTGATACAACATGGTTTTATCTCAATCCTCGATCGTACCTGGAAATTAATAGTTTGTATTTTCTAATTAGTACTATACGATTTATGATTCATCAGGTACTATTCAATGAGCTTAGTTGTGCTGTGTTGCCCATTTTCAAAGTCCGATAAAACAAAATAAATATTGAAGTTTGAAATAAAAATGACAAACGCAACTTGCTTCAAATTCTTTTCATCTTAATGTATAATTTCAGTATAATTTATTACAACGATAAACGATAAACAAGTACTTTTAATATGCGTATAGATTTGTACAGCCATCCAATACTGCAAACTCTATATTGCTCTTGAACGTTTGGAACTCGAAAACGTTTTCATTATACGTAATGATATTAAAGCTGTCTAATAGCTTTATTAATTTTAAAATATTAACAAAACAAAATTGTCTTAGCCGGAAAACAATAAATATCAAATAGGTATATTTTTGTCACCATTTATACATTTTAGTACTCTACATTGTATTGCCTCCTGATGGTGTCAATACCGTGTGACATCATGTTTCTAAGAATATTCTCTCATTCGTATACTATCGCATACTTTTTTAATCGTAAAGTTTTGTTGGAGGGGGCTTACATCGTCTCACGCATCTTCGTCGCATGTCGTCTCATTGGACAACAAAAGGACCCATTTAAAACTTCTAAGTATCTTTCGATATTCATAGTGCTATTTCATATACATTATTTCAATGCGGCTTTTGGAAGAATTATTTTTCATAGGTGTTACAATCGCTCTCCTGATCCCTTACACCGTTTAGTTGCTATGTTAGGATATCCACCACCACGTATAGTCCTGTAGCGTGGGTGTCGCTAGACTAGAAGTCAGAGGGAAGTAAAGCAGATGTGCAACAGCGTCTTTCTAATATCAGCTAAAATATATAAAGTCTGGGGATGCTAACCCACCTGCCAATCTTCGCAACTATGATAAATATACTCCTTGTGATGCTGTAGAAGAGGCCTATGTTTAGAAGTGAAATTTTAATAGGCTGTAATCGTAACGTTTCACATATTACCATTTTACATATCTCTTATTTTACATATCATATTCTGAATTCCTATTAGTTAGCCTCCAGTTTAAGTTTACGCTAGCATGCATCGGCCCTGCAAAACTTTTTTTTCTTTTACTGACTTTACGGCTCTGGGTTCTAGCCATTCTGATCCTATAATTTTTTCGGAATCTTCATTTTTATATATTTTTTCTTCACAATATGCTGATGCGTCACATTACGAAGTTTTTGGGAGATTTTGACGACAGCTCAACCCAGCGGACAGTTGATGACGACAACCACTCAAATTCATAAGGCGCCCAAGCGATCAATTTAACTTGAGGTTTATTTCAATATCAAAGCACTTGTTTCGTTGTTTTCTCTAATAGTTCATACGTGCAGACACCTAATTCACAAAATCGCATCACTTTTACGAATCAAAATCCACTTTAAACCATTATTCAAGCGACAAAACAGGAGCGACAATCCGTCGACGGCCAAGTTCCCGCCAAAACTCGCAAAACTTTTCATCATCTCCATTTTATAGATTATTTTATTTGTAAACGGTCGTAATTGACCTTTAAAGTTGCAATGACTTCATAACTGATTCTTAAAAAGCGTCGCCTTCATGCATTAGCGCTGATCTTAATATAGCTGCCGCCGCAAACTGATTTCGTATCATTGACGAGACTAGGACCTGTTTCTTCCTGTTCAATCAATATATTCCATTAAACAACCCAACCAAAAAACATAACCGTTCCTCCTATAATGCGCCGGCTACCACCTCCTTCTTACGTTGTATAGTCTGTTCGCTTAGATGTGGTCGCTTTTGTAACACGCGGACTTGACACGTGCCGTATCTTGTTAAAGGCACCACCGCGACATCAAAGGCCGCCGCGCGCGGCGTACACCCGCAGGAGAACTTGGCATTTTAAATTGAAGCGCGGTAGTGAAAGGTTCTTTGCAGAGATGCCGCGAATAGTTATAATGGCAAATAGTCGAATACTGATTATTCGCCATTCCTCATGACGAATAGCGAATACTCGCTCTTATTATTCGACATAAAAAAAGGAATATACAAAAAAATTTATTTGTTATCAAATAGTAATATTACACTTGTGTAGTAGTCTGTTGAACTCACCTGTTATTTATATGTTACTGTAAACTAAAAAAATCTAAGATTATGACTATTATTATGGCAACCCTTTTGTTGTACGTAACATATTTTACGAGGAAGAACCTCATTTTGTATAAGAATTGGCTTCCAAAAGATCTCGCTTAGGTAATGAAAAGTGGGATGTCGTTTTAGAAACTTATGAACTAGTTAGGGCATGTTGCGAAGAATCTAAATTTACGATAACAAAGCAGCCTAATGAAGAGCAACCAAATAATAAAATTGCTGATGAAGTTGCCAACTATATCAGCTTAGCAAAGGCTGACAGAAGTATAAACCCATATTATGTATGGTGATCTTTGAGTACCAATAAGAATCGATTCCCAATTTTAAGTAAGCTTGCTAAACCATACTAAGTTACACCAGCAAGCTCTGATTATTCAGAAAGACTATTTTCTGAGGCAGATTTAGTTTACGAAAAAAGCACAACGAACTCGATCCCAGTCGTGCAGAAAAATTAGTTTTTCTCTTTTAGACTTTGAATATTAATTAAAAAGCCTTATTAACTTCAACATAACTGATTTTTGCTAACTTTTATATTTTTAATGATGATTTAATATTAATGCTAAGTGTGTTTTGTTTAAAAGATAAATACAGGTAATTATTTTATCTATCTATAGTTTTTCTGTCCATTTACTATAAGTTTATATTATTAAGACAACTATTCGCCGAATGTCGAATAATGAACACTACGGCACTGAAAATTTCGGGAATCAAGAAAGTGACACAACATTACTATTTAAAAATATATTTTTTGTTTTGCTTTTCGAAGTATTCTCCGCGAAATTTGACACATTTTTCCATACGATGGAACTAATCATTGAAGCAACCATTCCATTCGAAAGTTGGGGTCTCTAAAATGGCCGTTTTGTAGGCGTCCACAGCTTCTTCAGGTGGTGAAAATCTCTGTCCACGCAATTTATTCTTTATTTTAGGGAAAGTATAGAAATCATTAGGGCTTAGGTCGGGGCTGTACGGCGGATGGTCTAATAATTCTATGTTTTCTTGCTCTAAAAACTCTTTTGTTCTGTGTGCGGTGTGAGAACTCGCATTGTCGTGATGGAGGATGATGCGGCGGTTGCAGTTCTCTTTACGGAGTTCAGAAACGACCTGTGGCAAACAAATGCTAGCATACCATTCTGCATTAACCGTTCTTTGTCCCTCAAGAGGAATAGTCGTAACATGGCCGGTTTTGGAGACAAACGTGGCCACCATTTTTTTTTGCAACACTCCGTGAACGAACAATTTTTGTTGGCTTTAACTCATTTTCGAACACCCAAACTCGTGACTGGTTTTTGTTTCGGGTTCGTACGCGTATATCCAGGATTCGTCACCTGATACGATGTTGTATACAGCATTTAAGGATCCTGCGCGGAATCTTTCGAGAGTTTAGATGGGCCTTCATCACCAAATGCAGAAATCATCCGGTCAACAACTGTTTTTGTGTTAAACCGCTTCGAAAGTCATAATAAATCATCGCTCTTGAATTTTCTCGAGTCAATTCCATTTTTTCAATGACTAAACAAGTTTGACAAAACCTTGTGACAAGACCGAAAATCTTTTTTTAATAAATAAACGGTATTCGATTTTTAAAACCAAGGAGTTTTCAATTAAAAAGATTTTAATATGTCAGGAACAGTGGAAATATTCCATTCCCGATACTTTTAGTGTATTACTCGCTATTGGACGAGTAACGAAAAAATGCCGAGTAATGCCAAATACCGAATAATAGCGAGTATTCACGGCATTTCTAGTTCTTTGCCACCTAAATTGTGTTTTTTTTTTAATTTACATTCGTATTTTATTACTTCTTAATATAGAAATACATTTATTTAATAAACACAATAAAAATAATAAACTAAAGCAAAATATTAAGTGCGCCGCTAACAGACTTTTTTTATAGGATAAAGTTGACAAACGGGCAAAGTCCACCTGATAATCAGTGGTTGCTGGGGCCTATAGACGTTATCAACCGTGAGGACTAAGATGGAATGCCTCGTTTCCAGTAAAAAGGGTCTCCAGTTCTCTACACTCACCATACGAAACACAGCAGCATTAAGCTACTATTTTACGCTGGTATTCTGTGAGAGTTCCTTCCCCGGTCGAGCCGACCCATTCGTGCAACAACTGTAGGTACTACTAATATAGCTGCGGCATGGCTCTACCATGTAACAAAACTATAACGATTTTGGTAGATTGTTCAGGTCTGAGCTACATGATTTATTTTTTTAATAAAAATATTGTAGTCTTCGATCATTGTTAATCGAAGATTGTCGTTTATATTTATATCATTTTTTGTCGGATTAAAAACAAAGATTTTTCTACAATAAAATTTTGTTTTTACCTTTTTGTTATTACTCAAAAGCAGCTACCACTTATTATAATAATAATTATTATTACATGTTATGCTTGAAACAGTTTTTTATTTCATTAAGCTATCATTTTTATTTTCGGAGACATTAAGACTTTAGTTACCGTTTTCGTTACTCAAGAGTGAATTTTTAGGTGTAAAGGTAAATATATTCGTGGTCAATTATCAATTATCATCATTTCAAAAAGCTGTTTAAACTGCAATTTTTATTACACAGTTATTTTTGAATAAGACCCAATAGCACAGAATAAATAATAGTACTACCCATAGCATATATACACTGAGATATTAATAGATAATTAAGACTATGTCGTGTCGTAAAATGATTAAATATGGCGATAGCGTGGTTTGAATAATTGAGAACTTAAAGCTTTCAACAGTTTTATTGCCAACTATAAACGTACACGAATTATTCCAATCGTAGACAGAAATCAGTTTAATGATCCAGATTAAATTCAATGAGCGTGATGACTTGTATTTACTTACGGTTTAAAAAAGCTTACAAATTACAAATGCCAACACGTACAGATCACCTATCTAGTCGGCTCTTGTCTTACAAGTAATGGTGTCATGTATAATTTAATACATAAAATTCTTACACTTGAAATATCGGACCCAATAATAACTCCCATTTTCCAAGTGGGATTTTTTTATAGGATAGGGTGACAAACGAGCACACAGTCCACTTGATGGTAAGTTGTTGTTGCGGCCCATAGACATCTACATCTATCCTCGGTTACGATTCAAAATGCAGATGCGTTGTCACCCGTGAGGACTAAGATGGAATGCCTCGTTTCCAGTAAAAAGGGTCTCCTGTTCTCTACACTCACCATACGAAATACAGCAGCATTAAGCTACTATTTCACGCTGGTATTCTGTGAGAGCGTGTTCCACTGTTTTTAGTATTTATATTTTATTTTGCTAAACAGGCAATTGGTCACATATCAGGGGGCCATGTCAATCCGGCTGTGACGATTGGTTTAGCGTCGACCGGGGCCGTAAAGCCCGTGCGCGCCGTGCTCTACATAATCGTGCAATGCGCCGGCGCCGCCGCAGGATCAGGCTTGCTGAAATCCTTCACACCGGATCGTGCCGCGGGCAACCTTAGCGTCACTGGACTTGGCACTGATGTTACTCAGCTACAAGGTTTCGGCATCGAGTTCTTCCTTGGATTCGTGCTCGTCTTTGTTGTCAGCGGTGTAAGTACCCTTTTCTTTAAGATAATTACGTAAAATTCTTTAAAAATAATAGTTATTTTATAATTGCAATGTATCTTCTATATCGCAATGTCTAAATGTCTAAAATTCTATTCTGTATCGCAGTGTATGAGAGCCGTGGTAGCTCAGATGGTTAACGCTCGCTGTAAATATAACAAAACGCGAGTAACCCGGGTTCGATCCCCGCCGACACCAATGAAATTGTTAATTGCAATTTTAAGTGCTGATTTACCACGTGCTCGACGGTGAAGGAAAACATCGTGAGGAAACCTGCATGTCTGAGGAATAAGGAAAAAATATTTCGAAGACATGTGAAGTTCTCCAACACGCATTGGGGTAGCGCGGCGGACACTTCCTTGCCCTAAAACCCTCTCAGAAAAGAGGGGACGCCAGTGCCCAGCAGTGGGACGTATATAGGCTGTTACTTTAGTTTACTTCTGTATCGTTCCTCGGATGACGTAAGACGCGACTATGAGAAATAGCAGAAAGATCTTATGGCAACCGATATATGGCATACAATTCTAAGAACGGTCTCAGAGAGCAGTGACAAAGGCAAGGGAGCGAATGACCTCTGATTTTGCGATTGCATATCCACCAACTAGCCGTGGCAATTGTGTTGTATAAGTATAGCAAATGTTTGTCATGTACAGGAAATGTATGTAATATTCATGAGATTTTCGTATAGTGGAGGTGGAGGTAACTTTTTTAAGAAAAAACTATTACAACACATTTCCCAATGGCTTACTAATGTCCATTTGTAAATATGTATTTACGAACTATTGAAAAAGAATAACGCCGTGTAGTGACCGCGAACGGTAAGAAAACCATTATCATCACAGCTCCTCAAGAGCTCATTGCTGTGAGGTGGTTATATTGTTCGACCGGAATCTAATGTCTCTCATAGTCGTCTGTAATAATACGTTGTTTGTCCGCGAAGGACTCCTACTTAACCGATTTTAATTATATTTGCACACCGTGTGCTGTTTGGTCCAACTTGAGAGATAGGATTATTTTTTTGCCTATGAGTGACCCACAATTTTTTTTGCGAATTTAAGGATTTTTAATGGGACATGACAAAGGGTCGTCGTAAAGGGCAGAACACCGACTGCCTGGCAAGATAGTTATATATGAAATGTATTGAAAAACTGAAGACTTTATTGTAACTATATTATTATTAATATTACTTACTTACTTACATAAAATAAAATACAATTGTCCAAAAATTTTCCAACAATGTAGCAAAATACAATTCAATTTCAATAAAGTAAACGCCAGATCACGTGACTCGGTGTGGTCTCATTAGTCAAAACCATAGATAAATAAATATGTAGCAAGGTCAGAACCGATTTTGCTGTGTACTAAGGCACAGCACTCGATAGTTCACTTGAATATTTGAAATATTGACTGATGACAACCTAATTCTATTCAAATAGCACAAATTTAATAATAATCTAATGTAAATAAATTATAACTCGTTTATCGAAAATAAATTAGCTACCTAATTTTTAGTTTCTTGGAAATATTGTCTTAAAATGAATTACTTTTCACTGGGATATTACTATAGTAGGTAAGAATTACATTCAATTGCCAAGGGGTTACCGCTCGCCTTAAAATTTCATAGTGGGTATGCGGGCAAAACGAATTCCATCACGGGAATGAAATCGTTAATTACAGTTTTAATTGCTGATTTGCCACAAGCACGACGGTAAAGAAGAACATCGTGAGGAAACTTGTAAAAACAAAAATTCTAATTAATGTAATATCTGCCAACACGCGTTGCGGCTGTGCGGCAGAGTCATGTGCTCAGCACCGCAGCAATGGAACATATCTAGGCTGTTACTTTACTTTTTTCCCCTTTAAATACATAACTATCCGCCCCGGCTTCGCACGGGTGATTTCTGGATCTCGACAACAGCGCCATCTATCGAGTTCAATTGAGTTTTTAAACAATCCAGAGACCCACTAAAATACACACAAAAAACTGCATCAAAATCGGTCGCGCCATTTTCGAGTTTTTGCAAGACTGACCATGACTGACTGACTGACTTATAGCAATTGATTTTTACGTATAAAAAGATAAGATAAACACTGATGACTAATGATCCTACTCTGACAGTAAAAGTTGATAGCATCTCATCTTAGACCATTTAAGCATATCATAGTGGCCAACGCCACGATTAGGGTTGCCAGGTGTTAAAATCCGAAAGGCCGGACAGACCAGCGAGCTTAGCCGGACATTTTGGTAAAAAGGCCGGACAACCTTATTTTTTTTTGTCTTAGTAAAAGACCTTTTTTAAAGTAAAACAATGCTTTTCATCATTTACCGTAAAATCTTCTTAAGTTCTAACGAAATAACAACGATTGAATAAATCAGTCTTCTTTATTATTAATTATTCAATACTCATTACAATATTAATTTCAATAATATATGTATGTATATGAAAAATGTAAAGAAGTGGAAAAATTTAAAAAGCCTAACAAAAGCAGAACACCGTCCATTTTGGCCGGACACGCAACCAAAAAATTAAGAGGAATTTTAGGATATTTGCAGTTTAGAGAAAAATTTAGTACCTACGATTTATACCCATACTATCTATACCTATTACGTATAGTACTCGACGACGACAGGAAACAGGACCAAATTCGTAAGTCCACTTGTACTGCAAACCCAGATCCGCCTGTCCGCAATTAGGACAATCCTCTAAACTCGTAGATCCTTTTCCCGCATGTCTTACGCAGTCACAAGTCGCGACTGACGGCAAACGAAAAAGATAAATATAATTATTTTTATTAAGATCTCTGTTCGGCTCATATCAACATTCTTTAAATGTATGTATTACACACATCTATTCGTATAGCCGTAGCTCTACCATGTTCGTACACGTGGTACGGTATGTGTATCGGTAATAGTATAATAATTACTAAAAAGCGTGATTGAGTTAGTAACTCTATATGAAATACACGTTATTAGACAAAAGGTTCATACGATGTATTATATATTTGTTTTAATTACTAAAGTGCGTGATAATGTTGGTCTATACAACATACGCATTGTTAGACAAAAGATTCATACGATGAGTTAGAAATGTTACCAACGTATATATATTATACGTTGGTAACATTTCTAACTCATCGTATGAATCTTTTGTCTAACAATGCGTATATTGTATAGATATCAGACGAACGGATATCAGATTTCCGTCGACGCCCCTTTAGGCTCCTTGGACCATTGTCTTGTCCGGAGTGTGGTGCCACTCACGCTGAAATCGCGGTTGCATTCTGCAGGCTGCCGCCGTGTTTGGCACTACAGGTCAGCCGATTGGGATGGGATGCGGTCTTTCTTTGCATCCTACCCTTGGGGGCGGGTTTGCTTCTCGCCGGACGATCCCAACGTTTTTGCGAATTCTGTCGCTGATGCTGTACTTCAGGGTATGGAACTTTTTATTCCTTCCTCTGTGGTGCCCATTGGAGGCAAATCTCAGCCATGGTTTGGTCGCTCCTGTAAAATAGCATCATGCTATAAGCAGGAGTGCTACCGAGCCTGGGATGACGCATCAGCGTCCAGGGATGTAAACACCAGCGCTCTAAAAAAGAAGTATAATTCCGCCTCTAGGTCCTTCAAAAGAGTCATTGCCAAGGCAAAGTCAGAGCACATAGGCAGAATTGGCGAGAGACTAGTTCGTCTTCCTTCTAGAACCCGTGCATTCTGGTCTCTCGCCAAGGCTGTCCAGGGGAATTTCTGTCAGCCATCTCTTCCATCTCTGCACAGGGAGGACGACTCACTGGCCCACACCGCAAAGGACAAAGCCGATCTTCTAGGCTCTTTCTTTGCGTCTAACTCGACTCTCGATGAAGGGGGAGTACGCCGCCGACCATCCCGCGGTGTGGGTGCTCCATGCCGGAAGTGCAGTTCACTCAGCGCTCGGTTCGCAAAGCACTCCTCTCCCTGGACATCCATAAGTCGAGTGGGCCTGACAGAATCCTCCCAATTGTGCTGAGGACGTGTGCTCCAGAGTTGGCACCGGTTTTAACGCGTCTTTTCCGGTACTCCTACTCCCTAGGCGTAGTCCCAAAATCATGGAAGACGGCTTTCGTCCACCCGATCCCTAAAAAAGGCGACCGCTCAGACCCGTCCAACTACCGGCCTATCGCCATCACCTCCTTGTTCTCCAAAACAATGGAGTCCATTGTAAACTGCCAGCTCATGAGGTACCTTGAGGATCACCAGCTGATTAGTGACCGCCAATACGGTTTTCGCCGTGGTAGGTCAGCTGGTGATCTTCTGGTCTACCTAACTCACAGATGGGCGGAGGCAGTAGAGTCCAAGGGGGAGGCATTGGCCGTTAGTTTGGACATTGCGAAGGCCTTCGATCGGGTTTGGCACAAAGCGCTTCTTTCGAAGCTCCCTTCCTATGGGCTTCCCGAGAAATTGTGCGATTGGATCACCAGTTTTCTTGCAGATCGGAGCATCAAGGTCGTTGTAGACGGTGCAAGCTCCGATTGCAAGCTTATTAATGCTGGTGTTCCACAGAGCTGCGTGCTATCGCCAACGCTGTTTCTTCTGCATATCAATGATATGTTGCAAACCCGTAGCATTCATTGCTATGCAGATGACAGCACTAGTGATGCTCTTTACACCGGCCGAGCCAATATTTCTCGGGAAAACGTCTCTGAGTGCCGGGACAAACTTGTGTCTGAAGTCGAGTCTCTGCTGGACGGAGTCTCGGATTGGGGGCGACTAAATCTAGTCCAGTTTAACCCCCAGAAGACACAAGTTTGCGCGTTAACCGCTAAAAAGAACCCCTTTGTCGTATCCCCTCAGTTTCAAGGCACTCCCCCTTGTTGCCTCAGCCAGTATCGGAATCCTCGGCGTCGACATATCGAGTGACGTGCAGTTTCGTGGTCACTTGGAAGGGAAGGCCAAATTGGCCTCTAAAAAAGCTTGGCGTGCTCAGCAGAGCGGGACAGTATTTCATGCCGGCACACCGCCTGCAACTTTACAAGGCGCAGGTTCGGCCGCTCATGGAATACTGTTCCCATCTCTGGGCTGGGGCTCCCCAGTACCAGCTCCTTCCACTTGACCGCATCCAGCGCAGAGCGGCTTGAATCGTCGGCTACCGAGTGCTTTCCGATCGGCTCGATTCACTGGCGCTGCGAAGAGATGTTGCATCTATTTGCGTATTTTATCGCATCTATCACGGGGAGTGCTCTGAGGAATTGTTCGGATTAATCCCAGCCGCCAAATTTCGTGAACGCACTACACGGCAAACGTCCCGATACCATCCACACCATCTGGATGCTTGGCGGTCCACCACTGTACGTTTCAAAAGGAGTTTTCTTCCGCGTACAACCTCTCTGTGGAATAATTTACCACCGGTAATTTTTCCGGACCGATACGACCTGGGGACCTTCAAGAAAAGAGCTTACTCCTTTCTAAAGGGCCGGCAACGCACCTGCAATTCCCCTGGTGTTGCGGTTGATCATGGGCGGCGGTAGTCACTTAACATCAGGTGAGCCACATGCTCGTTTGCCCCCCCCCCTCTGTAAAAAAAAATTCCTGTCCACTCTGCCATAAGCCTTTTCCAAGTCCATGAACGCACAAAAAACTTTCTGATTTTTGGCCAAAAACTTCTCCGTAATCATGTTACCAATACTACAAATTTTTCATAGGTATATCTTGGGGGCAATTTAGGATGACAAATTACACGTAGAGAAGTATCAAGACCTTCTTGTTTTGTGCGGTATTCATACCTGCGGTCCGTTGCCGCCGCAGCTAAACGCATAGTTTATGAACGTTATTTTCTCTTTGTCAACGTTGACAAAAATATACTCCCTATGTAGCAATCTATAGGGCCTCCCCCACAAATTGCCTATACAGCTGTGCACTTTTGATAGGACTGTAACGGTAACGGTTATTCCTCACTACTCAATAAAATGCTAAATACTTAATAAAACACTGCAAACATAATATTATAATTCACGTCTTTCCATTTAAATTCCGGTCACATTCTTACGAGTAACACTGGCATCAAAAATCTGGCATCAAAAATGCACGCGCGATTAACAGTCTGCTAGCGTGCTTTCGCGACAATAGTCGAAACAAATATTTATGCCTCGCTATCACTGATTTGAAGTTACTGCATAAAGAAAATTCCCAAGTCACAGTATTCAATTTTTTACCAGACCTAACCAAAAAAATTAATTGTACAAGGAAATTAAAAGGTCATGCTGCAGTGGAGCGGTTGAGCCACAAAAAATAAACTAACACTTCACTACGGCATGGCTTACCAATAGTAGGTATTGTTTTTTTAAAACTGAATTAACAAACTAACTTACAGTCCACCTGACGGTAAGTTTCTAATGCTGCCCATGGACATCTGCAGACAACTTCGAACAAAGAACGCTACAGATGCGTTGTCACTCCTGAGGACTAAGATCGTATGCCTTACAGACCGTCATTATACTGCTTGTCGGACTGAGACGAATTTCTAGACAGAAAAGCTGTCGTACCGTCTTGTACTCTAGTACATCATGACTGCAGAAATGAGTCTTCTACTGGGTATCACCACGCACAAACGTAAAATAACAGAATAATGCTGCTCTGTTTTGTACAGTGAGTGATCTGACTAACGAGGCATTCCATCTTAGTCCTCAGGAGTGACAACGCATCTGCAATTTGAATCTTAATAGAGGATCGAAGTAGATGTTTATGGGCCACAGCAGCTACTGACCATCAGGTGGACTGTACATTCATATGTATTCCCTTACTTATTTTTAAAATAAAAATATATACGATACTAGCTTGCCATGCAGACGACGTTGTTCTGCCCTTTTCGACGACCCTTTGTCATGTCCTATTAAAAATTCTTAAATTCGCAAAAAAAATTGTGGATCCCACTCATGGGCAAAAAACTGTCCTATCTTTCAAGTTGGACCAAACTGCACACGGTGTGCAAATTTGATTAAAATCGGTTTAGTAGTTTAGGAGTCCATCGCGGACAAACAACGTGACACGTAATTTATAAGTATATATTATACGATATAAAGAATTAGAAGAAAAGGGTCCGATTTCATTTCCTTGCAGAAATTTGTGCATTTTATTATACAAGTAACACAAAAAATGTACGAGTAGATGGGTTGTCATTCTTGAGAACTAAGATGATAACTAGCATCCTTTCCCGATTGAGCCGACCTGTATGAGTTTCAGCCAGCAGCTATAATACAGCTCTATAACTTGGCTCTACCACATAAAAAGTTAATTTATAATTCTCGCTGCATACAAACATCTTCTGATACCAAAATTTACTCTGACTACAACAAATAGAAAATCATCAAAACCTTGGCGTCATTTGATATTGTTACAATAACTATACAGCGCAAAATATGAAAAGAATGATTGAATACATGGTACACGTAATTTACTGTCACGGAATAGCCCGCCTGTTAATGTTTATAAAGGGGCTACTACTTTTTTGTCTTGGATATACTATCTTACAATAAAAAACAAGACTTATTTTTCAGGTTGCGAATTATGACTCAATAATAAGTAATTTAAAACTGAAATATTTTTAAGTTTGAATGCCGCATCATGTAAGCTTCAATCCTACATAATATATACAATTGAAAATACTGTAACAGTTATTTTACGATTGTTTATTTCGGCATTATATTTATGTTCCATTATTAAAAAATAACAAGTAGCCTGCACAGGACTTTTACCTCAAAAAAAATTTTTCGAATCTCAATTAATTTAAATTAAAACCCATTCAATATGACACTATTTTTTTATTAGAATTCCTGTATATAACTTCAGAACCTTTAAACCAATGTTTAGATAATAACATTATAATATTTTCGGAAGCTATTAATAATGTATAATCATAAGTAGTACGAGCCATATTATGTAAAGATTTCTCATATTTACGCAAGCACTACACATAAGTTAATGTAATTTTACGGATGTTATCGCGTTTAATTTTAACTTTTTATTTCCTGATGTTTCATCATTGCTTTACAGCGCCCATGATCTCGGGTGCGTGATCATGGGTGCTGTAAAGTAATCCGTAAAATTAGTTCCATGTTATGGTGTCAAAAGCTAACGACACAGATGGCACCAACAGAGATAGTAACGTATCCGATGTCCGCTTATGGTTAAAGTCGGAGGTTGTCTAGGATCACAGTGGTCTGAGCCTTGGATGCTGTGAAAAACACGGGTCAAGACACAGGGCACAGAACATACAGACATTAGACATGCTTGGCGAATATACGAAAGGTTTCATAGCTTCCGATAGATAGCGGTATAATCACGACTTAGTATGCAAGGTAAACATACCAACGTGAAACTCTTAATACATTACAAACCCTGCCTTACGCTACGAATTTGTAATGAGCACACATAAACACATACTTTATAAGCTTTAACAATACACAGAATATGGAGTAGATTAGCTTAAAAGCCTGTATTTTCTAATAGTTTATGTCTGAGAAACAGTAATATCCTATGATATCGTTCGCATCTGCGGGTGTGCGTACACAATACGGATCGTTAAAATTTATAAACGCGTAACTACGACCTATCCAATCTTATTCGTTATCTCGTAACGCGACATGATTGAAACAAATTTAGGCTACAAAAGTCAACGACCTTTTGTCTCGACAATGCTGAGATCACAGACTGATGTATTAAATTACGATACATTCAAGTTCATTTTTAATTTTAAAATAATTTTAACTAAACAATTATGCACAAATTACCATCATAGTCCTCCCCTAAGAAATGACACAAAGCTCGGTCTCCGGGCCACCTGCATCTATCGACTTCCTACTTTTATCTACTCCATCTAGTGGGGGGCCGCCAAACATTACATTTACCGAAACGAGGCTGCCACTTCTTCCCAATCGGTTTTTGATTCTTCGTGCTATGTTTCTAGAACGTTTATGCCAGACATCTAGTTACAATTTATTTACAATAAAATTATGAGTTCTGTTTAAAGCATTTTTACCGACTTTAAAAAGGGGGTGGTATTCAATTCAACTGTATGTTTTTTATGCTCATAACTTTTCTCTGGGTGAACCGATTTTGATGATTCTTTTTTTATCTGAAAGCTGGTGCTTCTCGTGTGGCCATATAAATTAATCAAGTTCTGAGCAGCACTTTTTGAGTTATCTTTAATAATGCGTATTTAATTAACTTCGAATACATTGACGATGTTCTCATTTTAATTATATTGAAGTCGGTTGTACAAAACTATTAATTTTACCACTTGTTTATATATATTTTTATTTCTCAATAAAATGTTTTATTATTATCATTTTATTGTTACTGTATGGCCGGGTCATTGCCACTTCAGCTTACGATCCGTTGGGCTATGCATAAAGCATGGCGCTGAGTAACAGCTTGCAACAACAGTCCTCAGCCGTGGTGTTATGTAACTCTGGTATAAATAATTATTATTAATAATTATAGTAATTGTAGAAATCGTTGCTTGGCTTCGTTTTGCCATTTGCCGTTTGGTTTCGTTGCTCGTGTATGTATTAGCACAGATTATACGGGGATCATGTTTTGGGTTACAAAATATTACAATAATGAAAGCCATGCCGCTGTAGGTGTTCACTCCACCTATTGGGTTTCGCCCTACATTGTGCTTGCTCGTACGAGGCTGCTACTCAAGAAACTTTCTTCCGTATCGGTTGTCGGTTCTTTGAGCTTCGCGAGTCGCTCATTACCACTTCTGCTTACTGATCCGTTATGCTATGTCAGTTACTCTTGTTCTTCTGCGGACATCCTGTTTACGAATTCAGTATAGCCTTCGCCATAATCCGCTAAGTGACATTTAGCTTCCTCATACGACCAACTGTGAAGATACACGTCTCGGTTCCGTAGGCCATGGCTAGTAATGCGTACTAAATTTGTCATAATAAAGAAATTAATTTGATTTACAGGTGTGCGACCCCAACAAACCAGACAGCAAGGCGACGGCACCGCTGGCTATTGGTCTAACGGTCACCTTGGGTCACTTGTTGGCTGTAGACTACACTGGCTCTTCAATGAACCCAGCTCGTTCCTTCGGCTCAGCGGTCGTCGCTAACGTATGGGACAACCACTGGGTAAGTCTATGCTTCACTTACTGTATTTTTATTGTTTCTTCTTTTTCCTAAGCCCATTAAAACCCACTGCTGGATTGGCCACCCTTCACTAATTGGCAAGCATTTCTTGAAAAAAAACAAAGCTTCGTATACATCACATACTGGAGGATAGCTAGCTGATTTGGTGAGCACCAACATGATACTCTCCCATTTATAAGTTTTACTTCCTATCACCAGTCTTGTCTTCTTTCTTAAATCGACATATTTTTATTAGCAAAAATGAAATAATAATGCCATTTTTGTTTAGGTATATAACAATTTGGAACGATATTTCATTCATGTTTTTTCATAAACAAATCGAATCATTAATTTAATTACACAAGCTGTCTCCATTCTTTGTTCGATCCATTGAACCGGTATATCATTGACTTTTAAAATATCAAACGCTAATGCTATGCTGTGCGAAAAAGTAATAGAAACTTCGTGTTGCTTGCTTTTGCCTACACCTCGCCTCGTAATGAAAACAAAAACAGAACAATAGAACATTAATAGGGGTTGACATAAGGCAAATAAGACGATTCTTACAGTGGCAGTGACTTTGTTATCAGAAGTTTATAGTATGATTATACTTATTTAAACAGTTACAAATATTTTTATTGGCGGGATGTTTCCACAAGTAAATGATAATTGGAAACGAAGTATCCGATTGCAGTGTTCTATTCACTATAACACGAGATATAATATGTCATATAAAATTTTATTATTTTACTAATTTATATTACAAAAATTATAATAATGAACTTAACTAAAATAATAATTAAAATTATAATATTTACAATTAATACTAATTATATACAATATAAAAAAAGAAACTATAATATAGAAAAACTAAAACTAAAAATTTTAATAGTCAAAAAGACCTGCTCCCCGTGGTATAGTGCAGTAACGCTGGCTGCGTTTCCTCGCTTAATAGCTATACTTAGCCTTTGAGCGAGGAAAGAACCAGCCCTCTTATCACCAGCAGCGACGACCAGCCGTGGATACAGTTCCTTTAGGCACTTCACTGCACGTGGACCCCACGGACCGATAAAATTATATATGTTTAGAATATATTCGTTAACTTCATGTGTGATATTCCATACACTATACATTTTACGTAATTATCCTTTAAAAAATAGAATAACGTACGTAATTGTATTGCGTGTATGTTTTGTGCGCACGTCATCATAGCATATTACATTACTAAAGCAGTTACGACGAAATCATTTTTGTTTAATCTCTTGACTAGCAGCCATAGAAATGAAACATACGTACGTAGCTGAACGTAGCTAAAATATTACCCTCATTTTCGGCTTCAACGCTGTCGAGTAAAAAACTATTACTGTTGTAACTAATTGAATTAACAGCCCCACAGCTCGTACACACATTGACAGTTGCCGGATAGTGATTTATAACGAATACCGTTTTTGTGTTTTAGTAGCCCATGAACTCTCGCGAGCGTTTACACATAGAGTGGAGGATAGAGAGTTCGAATACCGTTAAAGCATTTATTTAATTACCACGGTTTTTGCGTTTCAGATACTAAACTCAAGCGTGCATTCGATCTTATCGCACCATCGTAGCAGTTGATTCTATACGATCCACTCTTTATTTAATTTTATTTATTTATTTTAATTTTAAATTTTTATATTTTTTATTATTATTATTTTAAATTATTATTTTCATATTTATTTTAATATTTTTATTATTTTTTTTTACTTTTATTTTAATCTTTATTGAACCTTACAAAACAGTACAGCATCAGAAGATAGACTTAATGCTAAAGGTATTTTCTGCCAGTCCAACCTTGGGGCACTGATAACACTACGAAACGGGGTCACAGGGAACGTAAAAAATATTAAAAAAAGGAAACACATACATTTTTACGATATGTAAAGGGGAGCTGCCGTGTGGTGACGGCGGAAAAGAGTCCATCAGTTACCCGATTTATTTTTTTAAGTAAGTGAGTGTCGTAAAGTGTTAACTATGGGAATCGTCGGCAAAATATCGTGAGCTTTGATAAATGGAAATATATCCTCTCGTATATGTCAGATGGATGAGGACGCTCAAGGTCGCTCAGCGAGCTATGGAAAGGGCTATGCTCGGGGTTTCTCTGCGTGATAAACTTAGAAATGAGTATATCCGCAGTAGAACCAGAGTGACCGACATAGCTCAACGGATTAGTAAGCTGAAGTGCCAATGGGTCGGCCATATAGCTCGAAGAACCGACAACCGATGGGGAAAAAAGTTCTCGAGTGGCAGCCTCGTACCAGTAGGTGTGGGGCGACTCCATTTAATGGGGTAAATGGAGTGACGACTTGGTAAGACATGCAGGAAGTCGATGGATGCAGGTGGCTCAGAACCGTGCTTTGTGGCATTCCTTGGGGGAGGCCTTTTTTCAGCAGTGGACTTGTGAAGGGATGTAATGATGATGATATGTCAGATGTGTCATACGCAGATCAACGACGGAGATACTAGATCGTAGAATTTATTTTCTGCCTAGGATAGGGTCCGTCTAGGTAGGTAGGTACTACCCCCTCACGTATTTTTGCCGCCTAGCCCCAGTGCGTGCACAGTTGCATTTCGGTCTGAACGGTATTGCCAGCTAGTATAATTGCAGGCTGTGCGATTTTCTATCTTAGTGCTCAGAGATGACGACGTATCTGTAACCTTCAACGTTGCAACGTTGTTCAAGTGTCCGTGAGCTGCTGTAGCTACTTACAATCAAATGGGTTATAAATTCGTTTGTCACTTCAATTTAATATAAACAATAGGGACGTTAAATTGAAAACGTTTGGTACTTCGAGGATTACAGCAAATCCTTGTTACAAAAGCAGATGAGTCCAGCTGTAGGCTTATACGGGCTGATGAAGAAATAGAAAAAATACTATTAAATGTATGTGTGCTTGTGCTTACATGTATTGTGTTTGAAGCTACTCCGCATTTAGTGAATTTCGCCTCTATTTTCCGGGCATAATTTAACATCATTAAATGTTGTTATAAATCAAGCCAATCAAACATTACCCTCCGTATAAATTGGCTTGACCCTTACGCGAAAGACTCTTACAGATGTGTGCGTGCGTAGTAAAATCAAGAAAAATAATGCACTACCACCCATTTTGAATTTAAAAGATAAAAAGGACAGAATGTTTGAGATTTTTTCAAATAACTTTTCTTCACCATTTGTCTATATTACTTATTCTGAACCTTCTCTGCAAATTTGACCGGTTATTGCAAAATAACCCTGTATATGCATTCTAACAGTCAAACAGCACGCCTAACCCAGTTACTTAGTGGTGGAGCTCTTTTCAATTATTTTTTACTGAGAGCCTGATGGGTTGGTGACACACTCTTAGGTCCTTATTTCTGCCACCAAGCAACAGTGTAGTATGGTATAAGCATCTTATCTAAGTTCTTAGGAGTAATTACGCATATTGGACTTTCTTCGTTCTAAGTAGGTCATGTATTTGACTTACGATCACGTGGACAGTTAATTAGTTAGTCACTCTTATTTTTTTAAATGTTTGAACTTCGTGACCTAGTTGGAGACTGCATGTACTATTAAACCGCTTTGCGTCAACAACAGAACCATTTTTAAATACCACCAGCGATATTTTGCGCAAGTTCTAAAGATCAGTCCCATCGACATTTTAAATTATTAAAAGAATTATCACAAAGATACTGTATCCTTAAACCATCTCTTGAGACGTGCTTCAAAACACAAGGCTTTCGATTCCCGCCGGAACCAAAGGAATTGTTAATTGCAAATTTTATTGCTGATTTATCACGTGCTCGGTGGTGATGAAAACATCGTGAGGAAACCTGTATGTCTGAGAAATAAGAATAAAAATATATCTCAAAGACATATGAAGTTCGCCAACACGCATTGGGGCAGGCGGCGAACCTTTCCTTGCCTTAAAACCCTCTCAGAAATCAAGAGGAGGCCTGTGCCCAGCAGTGGGGCGTATTTAGGCTATAACTTTACTTTTACTACATATTATTACAACGTACCTACATATGTTTCACATTTTAAAATTATATTATAAGTTATGTTAACAGTATCCGGAGGGGAGATACTAGTGATACAGGCTTCCGCCTCGTACAGACACCAACTCCTCTACCCATAGTCGAAAAAGATTGCCTATATTTTACCTTTGTTAATCCTTACTTGTTAGAGTTATTAAATATATTATTATTATTATATAAAAAGACGTATTTGAGTTGTAAACTATATGTTATAGAAAAATAATATTTTTTGCTTTGTCGCGTTTTTAAAGGAAGTCTGGAACAAGTTTTACGTAAAGAATTTTTCCGTCATGAATGTAAAATTGAGAGAAGAAAGAAATTGAGCATGCATTAACTTAATTAAAAATTAATTGTTAATTTAGTTTAATTTTAATCTAAATTGCTCAGACTCCTATAATATTATTTATGGCCAAAGCAAAGAGCAAGAGAAAAATTAAAAATAAATGTGTACTTTTTTCTTTTTAATAATCTTAAAAGTACTATATTTTTGTATCATTTTTGGGAAAAATATTATAATTGTTAAAAAAAAGACGGCAACCCTAGGTTTTTTTATAGGATAGTGTGACAAACGAGCACACAGTCTACCTGATGGTAAGTGGTTGCTGTGGCCCATAGACATCTACATCTGTCTTCGATTACGATTCAAAATGCAGATGCGTTGTCACCCGTGAGGACTAAGATGAAATGTCTCAATTCTTACACTCGCCATACGAAACACAGCAAGCAGCATTAAGCTACTATTTTAAACTGGTATTCCGTGAAAGCGGGGTCCTTCCCCGGCCGTGCCGACCCATTCGTGCTACAACTATACTACTAATATAACTGCAGCATTGCTCTACCACGTACATAGGTCACAGTCAGTGGCGAAGCTAGGGCTCCAAACTAGGGCAAGCCCGAGATATGGTTTTGTTGTTTTTAGCAGTTTAATAAATTTACACCAATCTTGAGCTGTCTCC